AACCTATATCAAATTCATAACATTCGTATCCATCCTTTAATTTTAGTATCCAGATGAGATAAACAATCAAACCCAACCTATATCAAATTCATAACATTCGTATCCATCCTTAACATTAGTATCCAGATGAGACCAACCTATATGAAATTCATAATATTCGTATCCTTCCTTAGCATTAGTATCCAGATGAGATAAACATGAAACCCAACCTATATAATCCANTTAACATTAGTATCCAGATCAGATAAACAATGAAACCCAACCTATATAATCCATCATAACATTCGTATCCTTCCTTTTTAACATTCCAACCTGTATCAAATTAATAATCCATCATGTCATTTGTATCCAACCTTAACATTAGTAGCCAGATCAAATTAACAATCATACCCAACCCAAATCAAATTCATAACATTAGTATCCATCCTTTTCAACATTCGTATCCAACCTGCTTGCACTAGCAATCATAAGATTTGTATCCATGATCCATCCTTTAACTCTAACTTATATCAACATTCGTATCCATCCTGTCGACATTCAACATATCTTTTGCAACATTTAAATCAAACCTATATCAGCATTCATATCAAAGCTCCACATTTGTATCCACCCTCCCCTTCCCCCTACCCCACCAGCTGTCAGTCTCTACGCAGGCATGACACTGAAATAATTTTATCTGGATCTACAAAATTCATCTCTTCTTACTCATGCTTTTAATTGAACGCGGCATTCAGTCAAATCAGCTCTAATATCTGGAAGTCATGCTTTCCCCACCTCTTACACACAATGTTTGCACACTCCCGTCTGCCCCTTCCCTGGGGTCACGTGAGGTCCCACAAAAATTTGGGCCCGATCGGTTCAGCCGTTTTGACGTTTATTGGATACAAACAAACAGACAAGCAAAGTAAATATTCATCATAGGGAAGTTTAAGGACATGAAAGAGGAGTGGATGAAAATGCTTTTTTGTAGGGTCTACATCAAAAACTACAGTGCCAATTATAATTCATATTTTCCCCTGAAAGTTAAGGGCCTTATACTGGAAAAAAATATCTTTATACATGCACAGAGACTGCTTTTGGAGCTAATGTTTCTCATTAACTTTGTCCTAAGTCAAAATCCAATCCCCCAGCGTAAGTTTAAAACTGATGAGTGAGAGCTTTTTTTCTAAAGTCTCTATTTATAGTGGACACTGATATATTCACTAATTACATTGACTATCTATACATCCTTTGTGTAAAAAAAAACTGGATTTATTTCAATCATTGTGCATATTATGTCTGAATAAAAATGTATTTATGTTAATTTCACTATATTAAAGGAGAAATGTCTTATGCAAATTTTTAAGATGTTAACTCATTAGCTATCATTTTAATTTATTTACTTATACTTTTAAAATGTTAGAAAAAAATCATGGTTGTTCTATTATAAAACAAATAAAATGCGGAAACCGATATTCTTGAAATAATTCCGCAGTTAATTTTTTCTTTATAAGATAATTTTTGTTTTCAGTGATTTATTTAGTAAGTTAAGAAAGTAAGTTTTGTTTTAAATTGCCGATTATTCTCAAAAAGGGAAAGTGGATTTGTTTCAAACGAGACAATGATTCAAGTTATAATGATATGTTCGTAAATGGTAAACCTCAGCTGAAAACTTTAGAATGGTGGATATCGAGATCAATGCTTGATTCTCTTTTTTTCCTAATATCAAGACTAATTTATTCTTTAGATTTGTTTCTAGAGAAAAGAGATAAGCTCTTTCTGTTGAAAAACCGGTTTTTAATTTTTGCGCATTTCTGGTGTTGATGGTGTCATATCAATTTTTATTAAATGATTGAACGAACCTAAGTTTTGGATTAATTATTTTAAGACGAACGTTCAAAATGGCTATAGTCCTCAAATGTGATAAAATATGTTTTTTTAAGTTCATATGAAAATGATTAAAAATTTGTTTAAATGCTCTAAAAGCTGGCTTGTAAACAGCTGACTGTAGTTCGAAAATGGATATTAGTCCAATCGATATAGCATCGTATTTTTTATTGATACCAAACGTAACTTTTATACGGTAGGGATATCTAAAAAGAGGATCAAAAATAATACTCAGATTAAGTGATCATGGAATAAGGGATCCTATTTAAAGCTTTCAGCTCTGCAGCAATGTCTTCAAAACAGTTAATGTTTTAATACAAAAATATATCTTTAATTTTGATATTAATACATAGTAAGAAGAATGTCTTAGTTTTATTATCTAGACCTCTACTCGCCATATAGGCCAGGATCCCAAATACTCGATCTTTCAATTTGTGCCCATTTCAAATGTTTGAAGTGTCACAACTTGTAAANTATTTAAAAATCCAGGATGCAACTTTTTACTTAGATTTCAGACCTAATTTTTGAAAAAATTTCTCTTATTGTTTGATTAAAATATTTCACGTCTGCATACGGAGCAGTGTTAGGCCTGTAAATGTTACCTACAACTATATATTTATTCTTCCCATTTTTAATCTTAATAAATTGTGATTCAAATACGCGAGGTAAGAAAATAGAAATTGAATTAATGGGTTCAAAACAAAGTGATTTCTCAACCCAGAGTCCTACTCCTCCCCCTGCTTTACTATTTAGCCCCTGTTTATCTCTTTCAGTAAAATGAAGTTAAATCAAATGAAAGATTTGCAGGTTTATTCTAAATTTCCTGAAGAGCAATTACAGATGGTTTAAATTTCCCAAGGGTTGAGGCTAAAAATGTTTGAAACTCATTAAATTTTCCATGCAGGGAGAGATTGGATATTTAAAGACAAAACACTAAATTGCTCTGTTGAAATACTATTAAATTTTTTGTTAATCTCATCTTCATCATAGTATTGACAATTATGAATATTATTTTCATAAACCGAAGATTTAAAATTGTAAAATCGAATGTTTGATTGTTTTACTGTACATGTGTAAGTGAGATATTATTATTATCACTTTCTTTTCACTTGTATCGGACACTTTCAGACCTAACTGACCATTCTCATTAGAGAATAGTTTGCTGATTTTACCTTTTCTTCATGGACCTGAGATGATACATTAGGCTGTTTCTCTTGTTAGTAAGTTGAAAATTGGCATACAGACCAACCTCCTTCTTCCCTCCCTTCTTGATTCCAGTCGAGAGGTGTATGATGATATAATGTGTATACTTTAGTCATTGTTTAACCCACCAAAACTTCGTTACTTTTAAGACAGAGAAATCAAACTGATTTTTTGTAAAATTTGTATTTTGCATGAGTAGAGGACGGTCTGTGTTTAAAAAAATTAGACGTCTGAATTTTCAAAAAAATAACTGGTTTTAGAAATTGAACAGTAAACCTATAATACACCTAGAAACATTTACTTTAATGCTACTTCCTTAAAACTTGGCAACTGGACGCCACCCCCCCCCCCCTCAGACTATTAAGTTTACATAGATATACAGAGAAAAAAGAATCAGACCACCAAACATCAGTAAATATACTGTATGTAAATTTTAGTTGTAAATAATTTTTTTACGTATTTCTACAAAGAAGACATTTATCTACGCTGAATCTTGGAAATCATATAAAATAATTAGAAGACATGCCGTCTTTCTTTTTACATCTGACACTTGTGACGTTGTGCGTAGTTCTGTTGCCATCTATTATACTTGACAATCTATTTGCTAGAAACCATTAATTTTGAAATTACTTGTTATAAAATTCGCTCTGTAATGCTTGCTCTAAGACTTATCTCTCTTTACTTTTCTATTTATGATTTTAATTATGCCAGCATTTCATTGTTATAATTTTTCACCGAAATAATCAAAAAACTTTTTTAAGTCGCACAACAGCAGACATACATGGTGTCCGATGAAAACTGTATTTTAAATAATTAAGAGCACATTTATTTCTTGCTACAAAGATCTCATTAATCCTTGATTATGCAAAGATATCTCATTAATCCTTGATCATACAAAGATATCTCATTAATCCTTGATTATACAAAGATATNAATAAGTTTTCATCGGACACCATGTATGTCTGCTGTTGTGCGATAAAAAAGTTTATTGATTTTAATCGATGAAAAATGATAACAATTAAATGCAGACATAAATAGAAAAGTAAAAAAGAGAAGTCTTATAACAAGCATTACAGAGGAATCTCAAAATTAATCCTTTTGCTCACTTTTTTTAAAGACAGAAAGCGAGCAAAAGGCCTTTTGTTCGCTTTTTAGGCGAGAAGAGTATTACAGAACCCCAACTGTTACACATAAAAACCAAGATTTAAGAAAAGCTGTTCTGTATGGTGGAGGCTTGTTCACTGCAAGCGAAGACACGGTCGGCATAGCGGAGGCTTGGTCTACATAGTGGAGGCTCGGTCTGCCTGGAAAATCTGGGAGGCTCGAGTATGCATATTGGAGGATCATGGCGTTCGGTGGTTCCCTCTCTCCTCCAATGCACGTATTGTTTGTGAGAGGGAACCCCCTACGCCATGAGCCTCTGCTAAGCAGGCACGAGCCTCCAAGATTTTCTAAGCTGTACGAGCCTCCGCGTACTGAATAGCTTCCTTAAACTCATGGTTTTTACATATAGTAAAAAATTTTGGCATTTTTTCAATAAACCAGAAACATTTTTCACGCAAAAAGGAAAACATTTAGAGAAAAAAATTAAAAAAATTCTTTATTACACTTAAAAACCAAGAGTTATAGGAAAGCTGTGCTGCGCGGAGGCTCGTTCCTCATCGCAAATCTGGAGGCTCATGACGGCATTTAAAGTTAACAGTAGACTATTCAAAGTTGTTACTTGATCCTAACAGTCCTCTTCATATTCCACAGTTTATTGAGTTTCCCTTTACAGTGTACATACTGTAAAACTTTTCTTGGATTTTAGAATCTTCCCGCTAAAAATTGTCTTACTTTAAATGAAGACATTGATATCTTGCAGTAGACAGTCTATTCCATATTTACAAAAGGGTTGTTTTTAATCTTAGATAACAACAATTAAAGAAAGATTAATTCGAAAAACAGATTTATTATAAATAATAAAAATGATACAAACATGAAAAATTAAAACAGTGCAATTTATCACAACATCACTCAGGAGAGAAACACACACATGCGCACATTTAACAATTAATCCGCGCCCCGCGGCATTCAGTTTTAAAATGCATGCGGGATTATGCTGATCATTGCGCTCGGTCTTAACATGATCTTCATGTGCATCAAGATACAGTTAGAATGCCTGTGTATCACAATATAAAATGCAAAATAATTAGCCGGGATACAGGGGGGGGGGGGGGGTTAAACGATCCATAAAGTTGCCAGATAACATTGGGTAAAACAGTAAGAGATATAAATAAGAACTTTTTTAACGGGTTTGTAAAACGTCGTCGTTAGTAATGATTGAGTGATCAATTGGCAGTGTATTGATCAAATGATATTATTGATCTTGACACAGGTGTATTCAATAAATGATCATGTTGGAGGATTTTAAACCAATTTTAACGGGTTCCACGGTTCGGTAGATCTTTCACCTAAATCAAAATTTTAAGTTGCAAAACATAAGAGATAAACATAAAAAAAACTATTAAAAAAATCTGTCTTCGACTAATTGAATAAGACTTTTTAAAGAGAAGACTCTATCGCATTTATTCAGTCTTTTTCAAAATATATTTGTTACGTTTTAGTGATATTGTCAAATCCTTTGATAAACCATAAAAAAAAACTTCATTCAAGGCATAGTACCCTATCTAATCTTTTGTTTGTTATATTTAAAGGTTATTCATTTAAGTCACATCTATTTTGGGTAACCTTGTAATGTCCTCTATTACTATTTTGACCTTTTAGAGAAAATATATCAATTTTAAAGGGACTTTAATTTCATGTGAACCTCCATGCACAGATAGCAATGCCCGATTCACAACGGCACCTTTCAAAGCTTTGTCATGATTAAGTATGAATTAGATATTAATGTTCATGATTTTGAAAACTAATTATTTTCAATTGTGGGTCCTTTACAAAAGGGACCTACGCATTTCTACCGAAGATAACATATAAATTGAACATATTAAACCTAGAAAAATGACAATACCTTCCCCATATTTGATCAGATAAAGGTTTCAATGGTGCCGTTGTTAATCGTGCATTGCCATCTTTGCACGGAGGGTCCCTTGAAATTTTGCTTAAAGTCCCTTCAAAGGGTAAACTTTCAAAAATATATCATTATATTTTGAAATCCAAATTGTAGAAAAATCAAGATTTTTAAAAGAATATTACATTTTTAAGGAGTCTAAAATATTATTTCTCTATTCTGAAATGTTGAAAACATTACCTTGTATATCCTGACTATCCAGTGTTCTGAAGTATATGCCTCCTCTAACACATCCAGCTGGAAATCTTTATTTCCGATCTCAGCATTCCGTACACGATCATATCCAGGAGGCTTTCCTGTACATACATTGGACAATGGACATGTACTTTACATTCATTGTAATGCATACCAAGCCGAAAACCCGAGTTAAAGTCTTTAAAAATGAGTTATTCTATTCCCCCCCCCTAAAAAAAAAAAAAAAACAGGTAGTAGTTCAACTTCACAGTCAAAGATTGTACAAATCAATGGCAGATCAGAACTCTTCTAATAAGACCAATGAGAGATTAGTATACTGGCATCAGCTGACATATTTAATACTTACTTTACACAACCATATCGAATTTAAATCCAGTTAAATTTCAAAAGTTCAGCTTTCTAGCTTGATTCAAACTTGTAATATATTTCTCAAATAGGCCTTCTAAATTCATAACTAAATAAACTTTTTTACATGTTTTGAATAAAGTTGCAACTTATTTCTAAAAATTTTTTAAGACTTCTTAATAATTATAGAATTTGAAGTCACCAGTATTCTTTTTCCAATTCTTCCATATAGCACGAAATATTTTAAAATAATTTCATGAAAATGAAATGAAATGGGAGAATAAAGTTTTATAGCATACCTCCTTCTGTGTAGACCTGTCCGAATCTATAGTAGCACATCTTGTACATCATACAGTTTAGTAGTGTAGGACTTCCATCCCCATCTACTCGAAACTCTCCACTTGGTGTATAGTAATCCCATTCCTAGTAAATAGTTTAACTACATAATCTCTATACATATGAAGTAGTAATCTCTGTTTGGGGAACTCTGTACCACCACGGTAACGTTCTCAGCTTGCTTTCAAAATTCTAAGTTAAGTAAGTAGACTTTCATATAGGCAGTTTAGTTTCCAGGAAAAGCTGGGTTCCCAAGCTAGTAAATGAAAACTAATTTTTCCTTATTACGGCAACCCACTTATTTTTTACAACAATCAAAGAACATTTCTGTTGCTTGTCTGATTGTTAGTTTTTATTCGAAAAACAACGATTGAACCCAATTTATTCGCATGACCGGTCAAAATTAAAAGCATTGTAAATCTACCAATAAAAAACAGAAAAATCCGCGAAATCATTAATTGTTCGTTACTGTTATGTTGGATGAAAAATTTTGCGCCTTAAAAGCCTGCATTCTAAGTACATTGTTAAAGCACCTTGATGTGTGCACCTTCTGGAGTAGATCCACCAATCCTTACCATCCATAGGAACTTATTTATATCTGAAGAAAAAAACATTAATATTATTGAATTAAAGATAATGCCAATAATGAAATAATGATAATGATAATGATAAAAATTATAAAAATTTAACATAGATAACAATAAAATGATGAAATGATTATAACAATAATGATCATAACTTTTCAAAAAGTTAAAAGAATTTAAAAATATGCGATAATTTGTTAACCTTATTTTCAGTAGAGAGGGAGGGGCAAAATAAATATCTTCGAAAAAATCCATTAATGAAAAGATGGGTTGTGTTGAAAAATTTCCTAAAAAATGTTAAATTTACCATCAGAGGAGTATCCGGTTAGGCCACCAAATATGACAAGAACATAATCTACATCAAGCTCCTTCATGATCTCATACGCTTTATCCTCAGTACTTGCCATAGCCTAAATTAGTTTTTTAAATAAAGGCCCAGTGTTTATGATGTTCTTCATTTTATGTGATTTCCATTTATAGTATGGATGTCCGACTGATAACGGAAATCATTTAATCTTTATCTGATCAAAGATGGAGATTGAATAACCTATTTTTTCTAGCTGAAGGATGATTATTTTTATTTTAAGCTTACTTTAAAAAGTTATTTATCTGAAGACATAATGTCAAAAATTAACAGAATTTAACACTTCAGAGAGTTGAGGGATAAAGATTTGACATGTCACTCTTCAAAAGGAGGGTACCCAATAATAACACCTGGGGTCATTTTTTGAGGGGAAATCCCCTTTTACAGTATAATTGATTGAACTGTCATTCCTTTGTTATCAAGATCTTTTTTTCAAATAATGGTTGCATTTTTCAAATCTTTATACGTTAGTTTTCACAAATGGCAATTTCCTAAGAGAAAGGGGAAGCTACATTTCAATTTGAAGAATATCTATTTCTACAAACATTTCTTAGAATTTCTTAAACCTAAATAGAACAAACAAAGGTATAGTGATAAATAACGAGCCTACCCCCCCCCCTCTCCCCACCGACCAAAATGAAATTACCTGTCCAACCCTGGATATATGAGTATTATTCCAAGTATTATTATCCACTATAATTGTTCTGTTTGCCATTGCTGTAATCTGATATCCATAATCCCACCAAGACATCACCTGAACACAAATGAAATCAAATTATTTTTCAATCTTAAACAAATATTTGGCCTCAAAAGAGCTTTTTGAAAAAAGTTCATTTGCAAAATTCTAATATTTAACTACTGTTTTCCTGAGTGAAAAACGATTTATGGAAAATTGCAGAAAACGCCAACATTGAGGGATTTGGAGCATTTTAAAGTAGCACGAAATGGTTCGGGTGAAACAAAGTAAGAGGACTAACAAGGATTTATTTATAATTTTACAAAGGCTCTACATTTCTTATGAACAGTCTATGTTGTTACGATAATAATAAAAGGAGTCTGAAGTACAAGATAATACACTTCAGAGGCGCAACTAGGGGGGGCGGCCGGGCGCGCGCCCTCCCCTAGCACCTGAGAGGGGGGGGGGGGCCCCCCCCCCCCTGCAGAATGAAAAGAAAGAAAGAATGGTGAAAATCAGTATCACAGAAATAAGAAAACCAATAGAGTTATTGTAGAAATTTTATTATACTATAGTTAGTTTTAAAAAATATATTTTTAATCTTTTTCAATTCTCAAGGCTAAAGGCTATTGTAAACATTTAATGTAAAATAAGTTCTGAACTGTATTTTATTTGTGTTGAGTTTATAGAGTACTCGTAGATATCAAACTTTAAATTCTTTTGGTAAAATATTCTAAGTTTGAAATATCAAATGTTTACACCACTCGGTGCAAAGATTTAGGGAGTATAATATTTGAGTTTGTGGCAAAAAATCAGTTCCAAATCTAGAGAAAATTCTGAACCTGGCAAATTTCTAACTGATTATCATATTTGATAACTAACAAGATTTATCTTCTTTGACAGAAGTTCTATAAAATCGAAAATGAATTTAGATTATGAATGTTGGTTAGATCAATCATGCATTAATTCAATAACTTCAGGTAAAATTATCTGTCCTTTTACAATGTAGATGATTGAATTATTATTTACCTATGTATTTTTATGATTATTTCTTGCAATTAAATTTGTAATTAAACAAGGTACTTAAAAAATACTCTTTTGCGATTAGCACACATATTCAATGATTATGAATTGACTCATATATAAGTATATATAAGTATAAATTTTGTAAAAACACAAGAACAAAAAATCGATTTGAATTGAACACAGCCAAATCTGCATGCAACAACTAAAAATTTCCTTTTTTTCGACTTCAAACTCTTAATAAAGCACTTTTGTTTTTGAAAAATTTTCAAAAAGGGGGGGAAACCCCCCATTAACCCCCCCCCCCCGACCACTACAAAATTATATATTGCCCCCCCTAGCAAAAGTCCTAGTTGCGCCTCTGATACACTTGATCGAGAACCGAAGCCTTTCAAGAATCTGAGGAAAAACATCTGCAGAAAATTTAAAAAAAAACCTTAAAATTGTGCTGTCTGTTTGGTAGTTGGGCAGAGAATATTAAAAGTTTTTTTTTTATGATAATGAGTTTTAAATTAAAAAAATCCCCTTTCGAAATTCATAATTATTCTCTTAAAAGGGACTGGAGACGTAATTTAAAGCGACCTTACATTTATTTCATTTATTCAGCCACACTATAATGGATTATCACATAAAATTTCGTTTACAGTCCCTTTAAATTTTTTATCCTTCTCACCTTAGCGTCTTCTGGAGTGTTCATTCTAAGCCACCAGTATGCTTCCCTGAAGTCATCAAATATAATCCTGGAGCCATCATGAGATCTAGCAGACAGGACAATACTAGGGGAACTGTATGCTTCACTAGTCACCCAGGTACAGTGGAAGGTGTAGGAGATCAGGAAGCAGGTCATCATACCGACAAACATGTACGCGATCCCCTTGTTCTGCGGGGCCGAAGGGTCCTTGGTTTTACCGGTCTTGGTTCCGGGTTTGGTTTGAAGGTGGGAGGAAGCGTCCACATATTTCATGTAGGTGGACAGGGAGCTGGAGACAGCAATACCTAGATAATATGATGATGATAATCAAATCCTTCTGGGCCGTGTAATGATGGTAATTCTTAAATTCTTATGGAACAGATTTCAACCTGAGAGAATACACATGACCGGAACTGGCATGTATTCAAACCTGAGAGAAAACATATGACCGGAGCAAATATTCCAATCTGATAAAATACTCATGACCCGAGCTAGCATCTATTTCAACCTGAGAAAATACATAAAACCGGAGCTAGCATATATGTATTCCAACCTGAGAGAATACATATGACCGGAGCAAACATGTATTCTAACCTGAGAGAATACACATGAACGGAGCTAGCATGTATTCTTACCTGAGGAAATACATATGACAGGAGCTAGCATGTACTCTAACCAGGAAGAATAAATATAAACGGAACTACCATCTATTCTAACCTGAGAGACTTATGACCGGAGCTTTACGTACTCTAAACTGAGAGAATACATTTGACCGGAGCAAGCATGTATTCTAACCTGAGTGAATAAACATGACCGGAGCTAGCATCTATTCTAACCTGAGAGAATATCTGTGACCGGGGCTACTATCTATTCTAACCTGAGAGAATGCACATGACCACACCTACTATCTATTCTAACCTGAGAAAATACACATGACCGGAAGTAGCATCTTTTCTATTCTTACCTGATAAAATTCATATGACCGGATTTGCCATCTATTCTTATCTGATAGAATACATATGACCGGAGCTAGCATCTTTTTTAACCTGAGAAAATACACATGACCGGGGCAACTATCTATTCTTATCTGATAGAATACATATATGACCGGAGCTTGCAAGTATTCTTACCTGATAGAATACATAATACATATGACTGGAGCTACTTTCTATTCTAACCCGAGACATAAGATCTATGACCGAAGCTACCATCTATTCTAACCTGATAGATTAGACCCACGCAAATCTACCTCTTTGGTAAAAGTAAATTCAACCTATATTAAGCATGAAGTCTGACCGCGTCAACCTTGTTGCACTGGCTAGTCCTGTCCATAGAGCTAGGTACAGAACGAACTGGGACCGGAAAGGTTGACCCGGCTCGGAAATTCAAATGTACAACGGCTGCCCGTGGACCGTAGCTACTATCTATTTAGAGAATACACATGACCGGAGCTAGCATGTGTTCTTACCTGAGAGAATACACATGACTGGAGCCAGCACCAGCATCAACCTGACCATGACCCCGGCGAAGTAAACGGAGAAGACTCCGTACAGGATGATGAAGATGTTGTGATCGGTCAATCTAGAAAAAAAAATCATTTTATGTTGTGATAATTTATCATTTCAATCAATAATCATACCTAAATTCTCTCAAGTAAAATAAAAAGTTAGGACAAGGTTTTCTGGGTAAATCCAGAAAATTGTGACATTTGGACTGATGGCGCCAAAAAAAATATTTCAGAAGCTTCGTTAGAAACTTTTACGAAAAAAATCTGGAAATCTAAGAATTTAAAAAGAAGAAAATAACAAAATGTTTTTAATTCAAATTTTATTAAATCATTTCCAAGATTCGCAGCTAGGTAGTCAGGATTGGCATGAAAAAAACCAGCCCAAAAAACCCACTCGAATTTTTTTTAATAAGTGGGCTTTTTTGTGTTTTATCGGTTTTTAGAACTGTATTGATTTTTAGGAGTTCACTGCACTAAAACTGACACATTCATTCATTTCATTTATACCAATGATCTTAACAAAATGAATATTGTTCAAATATTAAGTTATTTAAAAAAAATATTAAATCAATCAAAGTAGTCAACCTTGTTGATCTGGACTTCACTTGAAGGTTTCTGGTTTGAGACCAGACAAATCCAATTGTGGAAAACTTTTGAAGCAATAGATCATCTGCATGCAGTGATTGTTTTTTTATTGTAAAGATATAAAGTTCCTTTGTCATTTTTATGTGTGAATGAGCTGAAGTTTTTAGGTATTTAACAGTGGTCTTTCTTCTTGTAAGTATTAATTAGTATGAATTTTAGTAGGTTTATTTAGTAGTTTATACTTTCAAATTGAAAAACCCCAAATGCCACAAACAAAAACCAATAAAATCCACTGGGCTGATTTTTTCAAACCCTGTAGTTTTTACTAAACAGACTGTAATTATTCATCTTGATAACCTCATTGGAGAACAAAGATGCGTGGTGATTATCAAATATTATTATTATCATTCAAGCGTACTTAGAAAAGCAGTAGTAGAGGCCAGCAGGAAACAGGAAGGTTAGAATCTGTAGATCAAAGTAGAAAGACGACCAAGAGGTGGGCTGATGCTCTGTTTATTCAACAAATAATCAATTTCTGGGAATTGACTCACATGTGAATTATTTTCATTATCATTCCGAAAAAACGGGAGGTCCACTATGCTATTAGAAAAACCATTATNCAGAGATAGTATGTGAAGAGCATACAGAATATAGCTATTCCTTCGTTATCATAGGAACCAGCCACAGATCTAGATAATTATTAATAACTAGAAATTCAGGGCGCTTCGCCCCCTTCTTTCTAGGCTATTTGAGGATGGAGATTGGAGAGGGGTGAAAGGGAATGATAAAAACCATATTTCATTCGAAAATACCAGAAATTGATTGATTTATTAATTTCCTGAAACACTGGCAATAATAGGAATATTATTCTTAGCATAGCTTGGATCCAGTAGGGAGTAGAATCTTCCAGTCCACGGGGCAACCTTGAGTAAATCAAATCAAATCAAAAGGCTTAGGGATCGTTTGAGGGTCCCTCGTACATGACGGAGTTTTAATTTCTGCTGTATCTTGGGTTTTCAGTCTGGATCTTGATATATTTCAATTTAATTTCCTTGGTCTTGCTTAGGTTCTGGAAGAAATCTGGTACATAGCCATATTTCATTATTATTATTTAGAAGGCAGGGTTATAAAAGCTACGAAAACCGTAAAGTCAAAACCAAGGAGGAGTTAGAAATAATGCAAAGAAAAATTTCATTAGTCAGTTTTAAAATTTAAAATAATTTTCATTAAAAAATTCTCAACCTTGCCAGACAGAGTAAGTACAGCTAGACCGATCCCAATGATAGAAGAGATGATGATGATTAAACTCTTAAACAGCAGGTTGAAGTTCTCAGTACTCAAGTTAGCTCTAAAAATTAGATGATAATAATAAAAAATTTAACACAAAATGAATATTGATGACCGTTCCTTCTTTGAAACCTTTTTTGTTCTTTCCCATCCCTTTCCCATCCCGTTCCCATTCCCCATCCCTTTTCCATCCCTTTACCATCCCGTTCCCATCCCGTTCCCATCCCGTTCCCCATCCCATCCCATCCCATCCCATTGCATCCCATTGCATCCCATTGCATCCCATTGCATCCCATTCCATCCCATTCCATCCCATCCCATTCCATCCCATTCCATCCCATCCCATTCCATCCCATTTCATCCCTTTCCACCATACTTCCCATCATGTCACATCCCTTCCCATCATGTCACATCCCTTCCAATCATGTCACATCCCATCCAATTCTATCATGTAACATGCCATCATGTCAAATCCCATCACATCATTCCAACATATTTTCAATATTCCAATATTCAGAATAGGTTATTGTAATCACAAATATTTCTTATACAAATGGAGTAACGTCTGCAAAGCATGTATATTGTATAGTCATATAGAAGACCGGGCTGCGTCAGTTGTATCTCCTTTCTATTTAATACTCCTTGATCCTATCGCATCCCGTCTTCTACTACCTGATATAATTCACGAATGCCAGGATCTGACAGAGACCGAAAACTCCAAGAGCAAGCATGTGTTCACTGGTCTGTACAGGTTGGAACCCAACAAAAGAAATCTAAATAAAATTTTTAAAAAATTATGAGATTCACTGAGACAATTCTTGCATTCGAAATAAAGAGCTGTAAAACATGTTTTCCACAAAAAATCAGTAAATACATAGTTGGTTTCATTACGTAATAGAACTAAGAGGAATTAAAAAATCAAATAATGACATTTTTAACCTATTCCACTCTCCCTATGCCAGGAACCCCGCTTACAAAATAAGCGTACATTGTACACTTATAACAGTACACTGTACGATGTAAACTGTACTGCAAGTAAATGTTATTTGTTTACAATTTTGTTGTTGTAGTCATTGATCCAAGAAGCGTACATGGTCATGGACATTGGTTGCGAAGTTCTTTTGGTCATCAACTAAATGGGGTAAGGTTCACGCACAGAGATATTTATAACTGTCTCAAGGACACAGCAGACTTTGTAAAACATACTCCATTATTACATCACCCTGGCCTATTTGCGTTTCGGCACGTTTTATTTGTTTACAATAAAACTACTAAATGTTGTACCTGCATGGATAGAAGAGTACCCAACGTATAAACTGTGGAGAATGCAACATAAATCTTGTGAGAAAACCGTCCGCAGACCATCAGAACTACAATTAAGCAGAGATGGCTAAACATGGGTAAAATAATAGGTTTGGTTGAGTTTTGTATTTCTTAAACTTGCTATTTTGTTGTGATTTTCAACTAAGGGTGATTAGAAAAAAATTATGAAGTTTACTTGAAATATTTACTACGGTTCTGTATTTTGTATTGTTATGTTTATCATGAACCCTGAGAGCGGTTTGAGGTTCCATTTATTGTAGGGTTCCCTTTCAGATCTTGTCTTTATTTCTTTTTATTATTTCTTATATATATTTTTTTACTGTATTGTTTATCTTGTTTATCTTGTTTTCTTTATTCTGTATTCTGAATTTTGTATTTTGTAATCTGAATTTTGTGTTCTGTGCTCTGTGTTTTGCGTTCTGTGCTCTGTGTTCTGTATTCTGTATTCTGTATTCTGTATTCTGTATTCCGTATTCCGTATTCCCTATTAGTATTCTCTGTTCTCTGTGTTCTGTGTTGTGTTCTCTGTGTTCTGTATTCTGCATGATGAATCTGAGTTCTTTATTCTGCAGCATCTAGATGAAATCACAGGGTTTAGGTTTGCGTCACTGTTTCAGATATTTCAGGTGTCTATTGTCTTCTGGCTGTGTCCTAGCGTCAAGTATTCCTACTTCTTGTGTCTTGTATTCCTAATTTCTGGTATACCTAGTGTCTATTCTCTATTGTCTAGTATACCTAGACTCCTAGTGTCTATTGTCAATTGTCTAGTATACCTAGACTCCTAGTGTCTATTGTCTAGTATACCTAGACTCCTAGTACACGTCTAGTATACCTAGTATATGAATATAAATAACATTGATCAGGAAAACATACCTATTGTCTAGTGTCTAGCATACCTAAAGTCTAGTGTCTATTGTCTAGCATACCAAGTTTCACGTGTCTAGTATACCTAGTACATGAAGAGGGATGATATTGATCAGGAAAACATATCCTCCCCATGAAGAAACCATGTAGAAGTAGGCTACAGAGCACAGAGCAGACCAGTAAATGTATCCTTAAATTAAAAAGATTACATTTATGAAATTTTTCAGTAACAAAACTATGAAACCCCAACACACATATTTTCTTTTCTTATACACACAAAGTAAAAGAGTTCAGAAACCTATACACAATTGATTTAGTTTTTCTTTTTACATTCATGGCTCCAAACAACTGTAAACATTTTGAGATCTGTGCCAAATCATTAAGGACACAATTCATAAACCATGTTGAATGGTGAGCCAAGCTCAAAATTTAAATGTGTAAAATGTTTAGGTCTTATTGAATGAATGAATAAGAATGTGATCTGCAAGAAGCCCCATGTTATTATTAAAGTCTCATTCTGTGTTGGTACAGCATATTTGAAAGGAAAACATCATAAAAAAAGGAAAATAAAACCATTAAACACGTGACGAACCTGTTTTGACAGCCTTGATCCAGAGATAGTATGTGAAGAGCATACAGAATATAGCTATTCCTTCGTTATCATAGGAACCAGCCACAGATCTAGATAATTATTAATAACTAGAAATTCAGGGCGCTTCGCGCCCTTCTTTCTAGGCTTTTAGGGCGCTTCGCGCCCATCTTCTATTTAAACTTTTAATTGCGGCTTTATCTGTGAGCATCTTCTCTTTGTACAGTATAAAACAAAAACAAAAAAGTTTGCGGATTTCATAATATTTTTTTACAGAAGCAGCAACAAATCCAGTGTTTGACCTTCTAATGACCTCTTACGACCTCGAATGACCTAAATGACCTCCAAAAATGAAAATGTTTTAACCATTTGTTCAATTTTATCCAGAAATCTCCATAGGTTTTTAGTATTTTCTGGATTAGAAGGTTAAACACTGGATTCCTAGCTTTCATTTGATATGCTTAAAGCAATATTTAAAACATTTTCATTATTGAGGTAATTTTAGGTCATTAGAGGTCATCAGGATGACCTCCTGGATTTGTTGCTGCTACTGCATTCCCTGGGTTTATCGCTTTCATTTGATATGCATAAAGTCATTGTTAAAATATTTTCGATTTGGAGGTCACTTTAGGTCATTAGAGGTCGTTAGAGATCATTTGAAGGTTGAACAGTGGATTCGTTGCTGCTCCTGTATTCCCTGGATTCCCAGCTTTCGTTTGACAATCATAAAGCCATAGTTAAAAACATTTTTTATATTTTTGGAGGTAATTTAGGTCGGTCGTGAGAGGTCAATTGAAGGTCAAACACTGGATTCGTTGCTGCTACTGTATTCCTGGGGTTCCTAGCTTTTATTATATGCATAAAGCCATAGTTAAAACATTTTCATTTTGGGAGGTCATTTAGGTCATGGAATCCCCAGACCGCCTATTGGTTCAGAAATGAGTGTTTTCCACCAGTATTTAAAAAAAGATAGATAATTTTTTTACAATACATTTCAACAAAAAATTAAAATCTTAAATTTTCTTCCTTTATGGAGATAATGGAATACATATATACCCTTAAAACATATTTGCTTTCTCAACCTTGAAATAAGAGTTTTTTGTGTAAACGTTTTAACATATTTGCTTTTCAACCTTGAAATAGGAGCTTTTTGTGTAAACTTTTTAACATATTTGTTTTTTCAATCTTGAAATAAGAGCTTTTTGTGTAAACTTTTCAAAAACAAATTTCGTAAAAAACAAGGACCCCATTCACTTTTGCTGGCAAAGATTTGTTATTTATCGAAGGAGAGTTACTTGAAATACAATAATTATATAAATGTTCCCAGACCTTGAGATGTATCCTGGAACTATAGCAATCATCCCTGCAGCGCAGAGTCCTGCCCCTACACTGTGTAGCTCGCTGGTCAGTAGGTAGGTCATGATAGCGGTCAGACTGGAGAACAACGGCGCCAGGAATACACAAACCTACAATATTCGTCAAAACAAGTTTAACCTCGAAAGTTAGAGATTTTTGAATGAGGAGTAATTGAACTTGGTATGGCTATTTAAACGACTTTTTCTAAACCTAGTGATGCAATCTTTTACAGTTCAAAAGAATTCATTTTTTTCAGATTGATGCTTATAATTTTTTCAACTATTTATTCAATTTTAATAAAACTATTACTAAAAAGTAAAAAGTGACAAGCATATCCACCTCTCTGACATCTAGTGTGATATTGAGTGAGTTAAGAAGATGGTAGATAGCGCTAGCTGTTACCATCAGTCCAGGATATATAGTACCACCAATTATCCTTCCTAGTGGATACCTATACAGATATATATTCGTGGATGAATATATTGACAAGAAAATCCAGAAAAAATAATTCTTGTGGATGGCATACTCTCCTGTCTATTTAGGGAACTTAAGGGATATTTTACTTCTACACCTTGTACATGTAAAAACTTGAAATAATTAGGCTTGCTGTTTAAGGATCAATTTTATTTTAGAAATTTGATGTTTGAGACCGAAATACCGCAGTCTCACACCTGGGCGTTATTTAACGCGACACCGGGTACTCACCAGGCCCTGTCATCGAACCAATTGTGGAAGGAGTAGAATCCCTTTTCTGCTAGATACTTAGTAGTACGGTAGTTGAAGTAGGGATCAAACTCATGGATCACAGATTCAAACCTGGATGGAACAAACAATAATTGAGGATTTTTAAAGGTCAAAAGGGACACATAGTACAAGGGTCACAGTATCCAAATATTAACGAAAACAGTATTCAGGCCTGAGTACAAATAAGAGCTTGGTTAAGAAAACTTTTAAGAAAAGATATTGAAGAATCAAAAAAGGTCACAAAGCTCAAAGTGTACGGACCTAAGTACAGAGAAGAGCCTGGTTAAAAAACCTTTTCAGAACTTTTAAAAAAATCAAAAAAGGTCATAAAGTACAAAAGATCACAGTGTAAGAGCCTGGTTAAGAAAGCTTTTAAGAAAAACTAAAAAAAGTCAATGGCCAAACAGTAAAAAGGTCACAGTGTACGGACCTGAGTACAGAGAAGAGCCTGGTGGAGAAGGCAAGAACAGCTGATATTGAGAGAATACTGAGCTTAAGTAAGGACTCTTGCTTCTCTACGCTAAACCGACCCAAGGCCGGCAGGACAGGCCCCGACATTCTTCTTCTGAAAACATAAAAAATATAAATTTATATTTCTCAACGGTCCGGTTACATAACGATGAGAGCAGTGAAATTTGTAAACATTGAGCATAAACAATGGCAAGCTTTTAGTAAACCAGAGGAGGGGTACAATGTACATATCTTATAAAAATACAGTTTTCATTCACTCAATAGGAAGATTCCAGTGAATAAAATCCATTTATTTTGATGTGGATCCGGATATTAGATTCCGCTTATGAAAAACTCTTCATTTTAAAGTAAATTCTTATAAAACTGAAAATCCATGAAATAACATTTTTACAGATCCAGGATCCGGCTCCTCAGTACGGTTCTTATAACGAAAACTTTTTAATAAAGTAATTTGAAAAATTAAAAAAAAAATACCCCTGTAGTAAAAAAAAACCCTCAAAACCTACAATGGCTATGGGGTTAAATTGAAATTTTTTAAGTATAAGGCAAAAGTTGATATCACAAACCTGGGACAGTATGAAGGCTCCAGGATAAGATGTAAACATAGCGTTTAAATAAGATTTTTTAATGGCTTTCTGAATGGATTTAATGAGATTTTTCAGTTCGCATTTCTTTAACTTTAAAAAAAAGATTGAAATTTTATAGAATTTAAAGGAGTAAATAATGATTAAAAATAATTATAACATATATCTATACCGAAAAACTCTGTGATTTTTAGTTAGTATTCTCAACTTTTTCAGATTGTTGAATGAGCTTCATCGGAACTAGTAAACTTTGAAGGATTTCTTAAGTTCAACTTTCGTGGATTTTCTAGTTTCCAGAATCTTCTAGATCTAACAAATCTCGGTGATGAGCCCGGCAGCGATGGTGTGCCCACCTGTTCTCATCATGAACCTACCCAGCTCCCTGTTCTCCTTGTACACCTCTATAGGGATGGGCTTAAGAACAGTTATCTCCACCATAGCAGAGCAGTTTCCGGCCAGACAACGAGGTTTCTTCTTCTCAACTTCTCCAGTAGCCTTGTTGAGTAAGGAAAGGAGTTTAGAGACAGTTCCTTGTTCAGATACACAACCATAGTGGAGAACCATCGAGAAACCTGAAAACAAAAATGAGCATTAAGCAAGGAAAAGCAACATTTTCACCTCATACTTGAGGTTTTAGACTTGATTTTTGCTAAGATACTATTTTTATTAAATGCATACTTTTCCAACCCCCCTTTCATTTATTTAAAATTCGGTGATGTAGAGTAAAAAAAGTAGATGTTAGTTCCAAATTTATTAAAAATACATTTCGGTCTGGATTGACCCTCGTCAGTTCTAACGATAGAATAACCATCAAAATCGATAAAAAAAAAATAATTTTTAAAAACCTCGAGAAAATAAACAAACAAAAAGATTATTTAAAAAAAATTTGGCTGTCAGATGAACATAAGGGAAACGAACTCAGATTATGAGATGAAAAAGAGATAACTTGAAAATATTCACTTTAAAAAAAATGTTTTAAGACAATTATTATTCCTTGAGATTGTTTCTGTCCAAAAGATTAAAAAGAAGCTGTATGTGTATGAAGTTGTGGTGGGGGTTGATTTACAATTAAATAAAAACTAATTTTTTCTGTTCATTCCTCTGAGTTCAGTCATAAAATCTCTAATGTATTTAGATTCTCGTACTTCAAGTAAACTTCTCCCGTGGTCCCAAACCTTCTCTAGAACGCTAACTTTTAGATGGTAAGAGTTCATGTCCAGGAAGGTTAAAATGTTCTCCTGTAGGCTGCTTTGTATGAAGATTTCTAATGTAATCAATATGTTCTCTCACTCTTTCATCTAAAGGTCTTGTTGTCTGTCCTATATATTGTAGTTTACACTGCTCACATGTAATACAGTAAACTACATTTCTGGTCTTACAGTTGAAAGCTCCATTAATCTCATTCTTCTTGCTGGTATTCGAGGATTGTTCAAGGCTCTTTCGCAATTTAAACCACAAGGCTACATACCAGGTATTAGCTTCTTTGGCCTCATTCTAGGAGAATCTGGAATTCTGACTCGGATGAGTTTATCATTGAGATTAGGAGGTCTCCTATAGGTAACCGGTGGATTTTGAAAAACCTCCTTCATCCAAGGATTCTGGACCATTGTTCTCCAATGTTTCTGTATGTTAGAGGAGATACAAGGCAGCTGGGGATTTAATGATAAAATAATTTACATAATGATCAAATAATCTAAATTAACAAGAAGATTTGAATTTTAATTATCTGCTGCTAAATATTAACTAAGTTCAGAGAGGAAAAATTTATAAAAATGAAGCAAGAACATTTTAAAGAAGACGTTTTCATGATTTCGTTAAATAAATTTGTGACAACTATACCTTTAGTGATTGGAACATCAATATTGAAGACGACCACCCTGGCCTTGAACTTGGCTGAGACAGGGATGGGTTGTGAGGGATCACAGAGAACCATACCCGGAGCTAAACTGTTCTGGTCTGGACCAGTTATACCTAGAGTCACGTGATCACCGGCATACCCTGAATACAGTAGAGGTTAATATCAGAATACAAATATAAGCAGGAAAACACAGATTAAAAAATAATTTTACTTTAAAATAAGAATTGGCTTAATCTCTACCATCCGAAAAAAGTTTTGCAGAAGAAAGTACGTGGAAATTTCAGTCAGTCGATAAATTGTGTTAACATGTTTGGTAGAATCTTGCCCTTTTAGATTTTATACAATGCAGAGATGGAATTTAAAGAATTTGAGCCGCGGTTTAAATCCGCCAAAACCCGGTTTAAATTCAGCGCCGGCTTAAATCTTGAAACATTTGATACAATTTTAAGTGGAAACAACCATATTTAAACCGCGGCTTAAATTTAAACCGCCGCTCAAATTCTTTAAATTCGGCCACTGGACAATTATATCTTTATCATTTTTTTTCAGGTTTAAACAGTACCCTTGTGAATAGGACATGAATATACCTGTCTGTCCATCCATCTGATCAACAAGCACACTCTTCACAACACAGATCTAGCAAATATCATTAAACTACATTTAATAACTACAGTCATAATCAGACCCGGAATTAATTGACAGTTAATCAGGCGATTTTACATATATATATCTCTGGCGATTTTAAATGCTCAAAAAAGGCAGACCACATTTTGGAAGCGACAGGGCTAGGACTATTTGTGATTATCGTTTCATCAATCATAATTGTAAAATTAGATTTAAAGTCGTCTGATTAATTGTAAATTAGTTCCGGGTCTTTCTGATTATCACTGTAAGTAAGAAAAACTAATCATTGAGACTGTAAGTTATCCTCTCTGATCATCATGTGTACGGATTTGAACTGAGAGAGGATGCATTTTCTGAACGGTTTTTCCACAGCCCTCTCGGGAGTTTTTAGGTTGTCTATTGCCTTAGTAGAAAAGTTATAAATAGATATGAGAACATGAGAAGATGAATGGATGAGTTAATAATTGAATGAGATATAAAGCAGGATTTATGAGAAAACATAATGAATTAAAGGATGAATGAATGCATAAAGGTTTGAACAAATGAACAAATAAATAATTGAGTTATTAAATAGATGAATAAACAAAAAATAAACAAATAAGGAAAAAAAATAAGTAAATAAATATATAAATAATCAATAATTCGATAATTCAATAAATGACTAAATGACTAAATGACATGATAATTGAATGCCTGAATGTCTGAATGCCTGAATGTCTGAATGTCTGAATGCCTGAATGTCTGAATGCCTAAATGCCTAAATGTCTAAATGCCTAAATGTCTAATTGAGTAAGTGAATAAGTGACTTAGTGACTTAGTGACTTAGTGACTTAGTAACTTAGTGACAATGTGACTATGTGACTATGTGACTAAGTGATTAAGTGACTAAGTGACTAAATGTCTAAATGACTAAATGACTAAATGACTAAATGACTAAATGTCTAAATGACTAAATGTCTAAATGACTAAATGACTAAATGAATATATGACTAAATGACTAAATGACTAAATGCCTAAATGACTAAAAGACTAAATGAATAAATGAATTAATAAAGTAAATATAAGAATAAAAAGGTGAAAAGATAAATGAATCATTAAATGCATATAAGAAATGATGAGTGAATGTATAAAATAAAAGATGAATGATTGTATATAAAAAAGAAGAAAGAATGTTAATAAAAAAGGATGAATGTGTGAATGAATGAATTGACAAGAAGGATGCTGGATACATACCTGTATGAGTGATTGTCCAGAATACCATGAAGTTAATGATTGTATAGAAGAGGGACTTGTCAGATTCTCACCTTAATTAATAGATTAATCAATTACTGTTTTTTTTTGCAATTTTATTGATAAAACAATAAGTGAATACTGTTCTATGAACGAAAAAGATATAAATGAATAAATAGACAAATGCGTAAAAAATATTATAAGACAGGCTGTTTCTTTGAAAATTGTGGTTTAACTATATGGTTTTCAGATTCTGAATCAAAGTGTCAACATTTACTCATCTTTCAAGGGAACTAATCACTCGCCTCAAACTTTCATTTTTTAATCCAAATATTTTTATAGCCTGAGATGGAATTTAAAGAATTTGAGCCGCGGTTTAAATTCGCCAAAACCCGGTTTAAATTCAGCGCCGGCTTAAATCTTGAAAAATTTGATACAATTTTAAGTGGAACCAACCATATTTAAACCGCGGCTCAAATTTAAACCGCCGCTCATATTCTTTAAATTCGGCCACTGATGAGTTAACCTTTGATTTTCTATTTTAACAGCTTTATAGTGAAGATATTTAAAGACTACGATATTGCAAAGTTTTAAGAGCAAAAGAATTCCAGCTAAAGGTAAGGAATACGTTTTTTTCTGCAGATAAACTGTTTAAAAAATGATATTTCTGAAGACGGTTAGAGCTAGGTTGGAGCTAGGATGAAGTTAGGTTGGAGTTAGGTTTGAGCTAGGTTTGAGCTAGGTTTGAGCTAGGTTTGAGCTAGGTTTGAGCTAGGTTGGACCTAGGTTTAAGTTGGGTTGAAGTTGAGTTGAAGTGGGTTGAAGTTGGGTTGAAGTTGAGTAGAAGTTGAGTTGAAGTTGGGTTGAAGCTTGGTTAGAGCTAGGTTGGAGCTAGGTTGGAGTTATGTAGGATTTAGATTGGAGGTAGGTTGGAGGTAGGTTGAAGTTAGGTTGGAGCTAGGTTGGAGCTAGGTTGGAGCTGGGTTGAAGTTGGATTGAAGTTAGGTTGAAGTTGAGTTGAAGTTAAGTTGAAGTTGGAATGAAGCTTGGTTAGAGCTAGGTTGGAGTTATGTAGGATTTAGATTGGAGGTAGGTTGGAGGTAGGTTGGAGCTAGATTGGAGCTAGGTTGGAGCTGGTTGGAGCTAGGTTGAAGCTAGGTTGAAGCTAGATACCTGTAAGTCCACTGCAAGGGATGAAAACCAGATCCTTCTCTTTGAACCCGGCCTGCTTGTTCAGGAACATTCTCAACTTCTGCTCAATATCACGGAATCTCTCCTCCTAATCAATCAATCAATCTTCTTGACTTCTAGCAAATATAACGAAACCTCTCCTTCTGCACAATCATCAATCAATCTATTTCAATTTTTCCTGTGCCGGTGCGTTTAATGTGCAAACAAATATATTATTATAAAATTGATTTAAGAAATAAAAAAAAGAATTTACGAAGATGCTCGCATCGTGTCTAAATTACCTTCCAGTCTACAGTATCCAGCTTATTGACCGCTACCACTAGTTGGGATACTCCCAGTGACCTGAACAATACAAATCAAATCAATTTTGACAAACAATTCCAACAAAAAAAGATAAATCTGCAACCTCTCCCCCCTATTCTTTTCCCAAAAAGGTAACCTCAGAGGCTATCTGTCTATCTTAACCTAAAATAATGAATATATTTGTTTAAATGGGGGACGGGGCGGGAGTCTAAAATTAGATTTTAGGTCAGACCAATTAAAAAATTTACTTCAAGATTAGATTACCTGACTAATAAAGCATGTTCTCTGGTCTGTCCTCCTGCCTCGAATCCAGCCTCAAACTCACCTGAAAATCAGAATTATAGAAAAATAATTAATTAATTATTTAATTTACAAAAGTTCCAGCATAGGAGTAGGTAATTTATCTATGAAGAAATGTTTGAAAGTCTCTTTTTTCTTAAGATTTATCAAATTTGCGCAATAAACTCCTTTTTTATCTCGTGATGATACATTTTTATAATCACCCCTCAAAAAATTTCAGTAGGAAAACAACAAAATTGTAATAGTTCTGCTACTTCATAAGTTTCTATGTTTTACTCTAGCTTTTATAATTAACTCCTTACCTTATTTACTGAACACTGTAATTCAACACCTTTGAATGAGTTTCAATTTGATACATTTTACAACAGCACTACTTACTAGCTTACAAAACATTACAATGATTTATATTTCCTGATTTCTATTTCAGTCCACTGGATCCGGATTTTTATTTATTTAAATAGATCTTTTTAATCTCATGGTTCTGGATTCCATATTTCAATTCCCTGGATCCTGCCCTTCTTAGTCTCTTGAATCCAAATTCCTAATTTTCGGCCCCCTTGATCCTGGTACCTTATTTCCGTCCTCTTGATCCTGGTACCTTATTTCAGTCCCCTTGATCCTGGTACCTTATTTCCGTCCCCTTGATCCTAGTACCTTATTTCAGTTCCTGATCCTGGTACCTTATTTCAGTCCCCTTGATCCTGGTACCTTATTTCAGTCCCCTTGATCCTGGTACCTTATTTCAGTCCCCTTGATCCTGGTACCTTATTTCCGTCCCCTTGATCCTAGTACCTGTCCCCTTGATCCTGGTACCTTATTTCCGTCCCCTTGATCCTGGTACCTTATTTCAGTCCCCTTGATCCTGGTAGATTATTTCAGTCACCTGAATCCGGATTTCCATTTTTCAGTACCCTAGATAAGTCTTCCTTTTATTAATCCCCTGGATTCGGATTTTTTAATTGTGCTGCCGGGGGTTGGTATCCAGCAGTTGATATTGCAGAGGGGTCTATATCATTCATCAGATTAAGAAATTCTTCCTTTAAAAGCTGTGGAGCCATTTTTCTTCGGCATATATATGTAGGGCTTTACTTCTGGGGATTACACTTGTAGGGATTTACTGCTGGGCACCATGCAAATAGGGGTCACTTCTAGGGACCACGCAATTCAGGGGTCACTTCCAGGGACCCCGAATGTAGGGATTTACTTTTGTGACACACATAGTAGTGGAGGTTTAGCCTAGGGGGGTGCATTGTTGGCGAGGACGCCGAATATTTTTGGACACCTCCTAACGGTTGATGTGCACCCTCCTATTATAAAACCCGTATTAGAAAAAAAAATTAAAGCTTAAAATCTATATTAATCTATCCTAATTTTCTAAAAAACGATTTTTAGATTTCACAGGGAATACTCGTTATTTCAACTGGCACTAAATAAAACACACACCTGTTGTAGAATTTATTACTAGAACTGCTACATCTGCTTGATATGCACCACTGATCATATTTGGTATAAAATCTCTGTGCCCTGGAGCGTCTGAAATATTTAATAAAAGAATAAAATATATTTCAGTTTTATTTCCTCCATTAGAACTTGTGTTCTCTCAGTTTTTTGTGTGCAATTATTTCATCTTTGAATGGGATTCAATGGCCTATGGTTGTACCTATGGATGCACGACTAAGAAATTAGGCTAACGGAATTAACATGTGATAAATCAGGGGTGTACATTTTTAGAATTCTTTTATTTTTTCAGTTCAGCAAATAAAACCCAAATTTTTGTCTCCCTCAAGGGCGTATACAGGGGGGGGGCAAGAGGGGGCAGTGCCACCCTCTAGACCTGCAAAGTAGAACTCAGAGCTTTCACACTTTTCAAATCTTAAACTAAAAAGTTAAGAAATAACAAAATAGTTTTCTGTTCATTCAGTGTACTAAGAAGATTGTATTTGTGAACCAGAGCCCCAGAGCCACCATGACAGAAGTCCGAATGAAAAATCTATTTAGAATGCACATTCATCCTAATGTTTGGCTTGGCTTGAGTTTGGAGGTAGTAAAGACCATTTTTTTGGATTTAATTTTCTTTATTCATTGCACCGCCGTTTAGTAATCTTTCTTTTTATTACAAACTAGCATACTAAATACTAATTATTACTAGCATAACAGCATACTAAAGTCGATTTTTTAGAAACAATGTTTTTTTTCTGCTAGTTTTGTTTGAAAAAGAGATAAAGTATAATACATGCAATGTAATTGAACTGTATGTGTGTGTACCTTTAAGGTATCTTATACTTATGCCTGATATCCAAGAAGCCAAACGTTTTGAATTTACAGTTCAAATTTTGCCCCCCACCACCCTAGGAATTTTCAGAAAATTTACACAAATAAATCTATGAAACAGTTAAACCGATCGGCTCCAATTTTTTTGTAGACCTCACATGACCACTTGGATGGTTTATGGATGGTCCGAGTTAAAAAAAAATGCAATGACAAAATTTCGATTTTTTTAAAATCCCCGAAAAATCAATACTTTTTTGTTATTGTTTGATAATTTAAGAAGTGAAAATGCCGCAGATAGAACACTTTAAAGTTAAGATCGAAGATGCCTAGTTAAAGCCAACTAATAAAAACAATGAAGTACCAGAATAAAGAATTCACAAAGTTAGTAAGAAATATTGATGATCTGGATCGAATCCTCGCCAAGATGGATAAAACATCTCACCTAGTAATGTAATTATTCTGTGTTCCGACTCAAAAGTATGAGATCCCACATCCATCGTTATTCCTCTATTTCAAAAAACAAACATCAAAATATTTATTTATCAAATGTTGAAAACAATCTTTTCATTATTTAATAAAATTTGCGATTATTTTAGTCGTTTAACAAAATGAGTAACAATTTCTAAAAAAAATTAACTCCAAGAGATCTCCATTTTTATTAGACGCATGTCCGATTCACAACCGTAACCTTAAAACTTTTATTTGATAAATATTGTGAAAGATATCGTCGTTTTTCTAACTTAACGTGTTTTATTCTGACAATCAACTGCGCTGTTCTGTAAACTTATAGATGAAAATAAGAGAAACATGGATATCTGATTTATTCTTAAAACAACGCTTTCCAGGGTACCGTTGTGAATTTGACATACAACTCATTGAATTAAGGATCGCTTGGAATCCCGTCTACAGACCCTTCAATTGTTTGTAAATTGTTAGAATAAAGTTTGTTTCCTATTTCTCTCTTCATCAGTTTCGTCTAAAACCCAGGCGAACATAAAACTTTGTTTCCCGACCTTCTTGGAATCCTTTAAAGGGAGTGTTCGCGAAAAATGAAAGGGGGTATAGGCTTAATGCGATAAAAAAGCGCTTTTGATCGCTATACCCCCTTTCATTTTTCGCGAACACTCCCTTTAATAATAAATAATAAATAAAATAGAGAACATCTAATAAAATTCAGTGTAAATATCATTATTCATTACTTACATAAAAAAAGCTGAGAGTCTGTTAAGGGCAATGAAAAAAAATAGAGCCAAAAACATTAAAAAAATATATATCATTTGTTTGGCAATAAAAAAAAACATCTTAGAATATCAAAGAAAAATAAGTGGAACAAATTTTTTGATTGTTTACGCCTATGACCATTCGGACCGATGTGGACAACAGGATTGACATTTCATAAAAAAAATTGAGGTATGCGCTGTGGGTATAAGAATTTGGTAATCGTAATTTATATCTCTTGATGTTATTACTTATGTGAAAATACCTTTTCGTATTTGTGAAGAAGTTTTTGTGAAACATTTCCGAGTTTAAATAAAAGATGACCCATTAGTGTACTCTTGCCACTATCTACATGACCTAAAATATAAAACTAATTATCATATAATAGTTTTAAACTTTTTAGTTTACATGTTAGTTGTCGAAATGTTGAAAATGATTCACAAGTCTGACCAAAACTTCAATTAGAAATAAGCAATAACTATAAAAAAAATATGAAAATAAGAGATTTAAAGATTATAACATTAACGGCTTTAAGGTAGTGGGAAANCATTAACGGCTTTAAGGCTGTGGGAAAAATATATGAAAATAAGAGATTTAAAGATTATAACATTAACGGCTTTAAGGCAGTGGGAAAAATATAAGAAAATAAGAGATTTAAAGATTGTAACATTAACTGCTTTAAGGCCGTGGGAAAAATATATGAAAATAAGAGATTTAAAGATTATAACATTAACTGCTTTAAGGCCGTGGGAAAAAGCAGCGTTGCTGCGAACTGACTTTAAGGTCACTACATCAAAAATAAAAACGTTGAATACTACTGCAATTTTTTCATTAAAATAAAAATATATTTCATGGATTTTTATTACTTTTCCTAACCCATTTGGTAAAGAGATTACTAGAAAACTGTGGAATAGGAAGACAATATTAGGGCAGTACTGAATTTGATGTTGTTACAAAGCATATAGCTTTACTAGTAAGTTATAAAATCACTTATTAATTGAATTGGGCATACACTACAATTTTCTGTGCCTCGTGTTCATAAGATTATCTAAAGTCGTATCGTAAGTCTAAAATTCGACTTCTTATTCTAGAGTTTTCTGGTCATTAATTTATTAATAATAAACACACCAACAACGACGAGATTTAAAACTTCCTTCTTGTTTCCTCGATCAGTTTTAAACTTCTCTGATGCGTCTATTTTCTCCTTCCGCATATTAACCTAGAATACCAAGGTTTACATTCATATCTTTATTTTTACTAGCTTGAGAACACTGCGTTGCACAATTAGTTACTCCAGCCATTTACCCGCGATTGTTTGAAATTACGATTTTGGACGCAATCAACTAAGAATCTCAAAACTAAGCTAAGAACATTCCCTTGGTTCTCCCGAGTTTCCAATTTTAAGGCCAATCGGTTAAGGGGTTCCTAAGTTATGATTGGATATACAAACAAACATAAAAACACCCATACAGAGATTACAACTGTATATATAAATATAAAGAAGATAATTTGATTAATTTTTAATAAGCTAAACGTATCAGGGGTATATATATTTTCATGAAAATTACATGAATTTTAGGGTAAAAGTATCTGAACAATGTGGGGGTGAGTTGATGTTAAATTTTTCATTTTCTCCCATATCTTAAACCCGAGGCAATTATTGAAATTTAAACCCCTGGATTCCTTTTAGCTGACCTGTTTGAGTGGGGTAGCTAAGCCAGGGGCTGGAGAACTAGATCTGGTTTCCAGTTTATCCTAAACCAAACCAAGCATATACAAGAATATTATAGAATTTATCCGTTCCCCAAACGGGATATTACTGCAGAGACGAGTGTGTGGAATTTATTCTTTTTACATTTAAAGTTTGAGGAAACTTAAAAATCGTTTCATTATTAACTAATTAATTAAATATTTAATTCATGGAATATATTTCACGATCTTACGGTCGTCGTTCGTCCTTTTAGGGTAACCAGCGAACATTCACATACATTCTTTTGAATCATAAATAATCGTTCATGTTTTCTCATACTTATCTTTTTTTGTATTATTCTTTTTTCTGAAATATTTGAGCACTCTTTTTAATAATTTTCCCTTTCGCCATTTTGTTTGAACTTCTCCCAACTTATTTTTCTATTTTTTTTACTTATGCCATCATTAGGACCATTTCTGATATTGGCAATAAATTTCTTAAATAACTTTATTTATTCAATATTCTCCAAAAATTTTCCTTTCATGTTTTATTCTTTGGTTCATTTTTTCTTCCATCGCTTTTTTTCTTATATAGATCTAATTATCTTTTTGTCACACTTTTTATCCACGACAAAAATGTGTACCTGAATATTTAAAGTGTCGATTTTTGGCATAGGTGAATTCGACCGGGATCTTTTCTTTTCAATAAACTGTACATAATTTATTCAATACTTCAAAATTGAAAACATTTTATCCAAAATTAAAGACGTTTTTTATAAACCTTTAATTTAAGATTGCCCTAAAAGATTTGCAACATTTTCAAAAATGTGTTTTACTATCTCTAGTTTAAATATCAATTATTTAATCGATTAATCGAGTTTTTAGAAACAATGTTTTTCTGCTATTTTTGTTTAATAATTGCAAGATAATTAGACTATGTGAACCTTTAAAGTATCTTATACTTATGCCTGAAATCCAAGAAGCCAAATGTTTTGAATTTACAGTTCAAATTTGCCCCCCCCCCCCTAGGAGCTCTTAGAGGGGGAGCATAATTTTTTGCCTCTTTCGCCTCCCCCTAGATTTATTTCTGTGTACGCCCTTGATAATTTTTTTGGATATGTGCCCATGGAACCTCGCAAATATGATATAATAATAATCTTATGAGGATAAAAATGCAATAATGGAATTACATTATTACATTTTTTTCCTTATAAATTATCATATTCTTAAGTTTTCAGCTCTGATAGAACAATAAATATCGTCGTTTCGAGAATTAGGGGGTTTTCGCTAACAATAACCCTCAGGCCGAAGTCCAAAGGAATTACAAGCATGCTCTCTCTATCTTGTCATTCAACGCGGCATGCACGTAACTCCTTTTGGCTTCTCCCTCAGGGTTATTGTGAACGTAAAACCCCTAAATTCTGAAAAGACAACATCTAGTGTTCTATCTGTATAGTTATTAATCTATGCCCAAAAGTCACAACTTTTTTCAAATAAATCTCGAAATCAAGCATTGATCTCAATCCTTTGCAGACCTATGGAATAATTTAATTTCTCTTCGATATCATCAAATCTAAAAGTGTCGATATTTGATATCAAGATCAATCGTTCTGACCTCAGAAGTAAAAAGTTAACAAAAAGACAAACAAATACGAAGATTGAATGGATTCCTTTTCAAAAACTTGTTTTTCCAGAGTAGGAGTTGGAGTATTAAACCCAACAGCAACAGGAGTAGTTGGAGTATTAAATCCAACAGCAGTCCCTGATGTTATCGTTTTTATAACGGGAGGTGGCGCCAAGCTTCCAAGATTTAATCCTTCAACCTTAACAATAAAATATGTTTTTTTAATCGACTTACAGATCACTCATTAATTAAACAATAAAAAGTAAAACTAACTAATTAACTAAAAAATCATAAGATGACATTTAACACTTATTTTAAGACTTTAGATGTTTCAAATAGTTTTAAAGATTATTTGAATGAATAAAGAATATATCCGAACTAAACCTTAAGTGATGCGGGTTTTAAAAATGATTCTTTTTCAGATTTATTTTCGAGAAGATGGTTTAGAGCAATCTCTGCATTAAAGCCATTGTTCACTACACAACACAGAACTTATTTTCTTATTTTGAAAAATATTTACTTATTTAACCTAAAAGCAGGGGTATCTAACTTAAAGGAGTATGAGAATAATTGGGAACAAATAAAAAAGTTGGACACAAATACTAAGTTTTTTCACCCCTTGATACACAAGTAAGCAAAAAAATGTATTTCCCCTAAAATACATTTTTACCAAAAAAAATCCGCTACGCTTACACATACCTAAAGTTGAGAGATGAGGGAAAAACAATTTTGCAAGAAATTTTATAAAAGAGAGAGTATTTTTTCCATGTTTTAGAAGAAACTTTAAATAGTAGAAGTTCTGTTTATGTTCCTAACGCTTGTTTAATGGTTTGTTCTGGTATAGTTTCCCCAGTAATATCCAGGATATAATCCAACCCAGAGTTTAATTTGACCATATCCTCACTCGACAATCCACTAGTATCAAATCCTAAATAATACATAGCTCACAACACAAGCAGTATAAAGAAATATTTAATATTGTGATTAAACTTCCATTAATAAAAAAATTTGCAAATTCTATAAAAATTTGTATGTATTAATTAAACATCAGTGCTAAAGATTTATTTCGTTTAGAGGCTTGGAGAGGAATAATCAATTCTTTTTTAATTTTCTCCTTTCAACTAATTTTTTTATCAAGACTTGCAAGTTTTAATTTTGGCAAATTTTTGTGATTAATAAAAATCTATCTTTGGAAGAAATTAAATACATAATTTAGATTGATTTTACCTGAATCCATTCTTGACAATTTTTTACTAGGTGGAGATTCTGAATTATTATCTATCTCTAGGTTGAAACCTGCCCCACTCCCTCCAGGTATAGGCCCTACATAGATATTAAATACTAGGTGTTCTGTATTATTTAACTCTAGGTTGAAACCTGCCCCTCCACCTCAAGGTTTAGGTCCTAGATAGATATTAAATACTAGATGAAGGTTCTGTATTCTCCATCTCTAGGTTGAAACCTGCCCCACTCCCTAGCTAGAATAGATATAAATAGGTCCCATATAGCTATTAAGAGCTAGTAAATTGAAAAGATAAGTAAGCCATCTTTTTAAAGAACCCAGATCGCCAGATCCCTTAAAATTTGAGGTTCCAAAATGTTATGGGTCCCAAGCTGTACCTGCTCCGATCTCCAGATCCATCTCAAACTCCGCCTGGTCCACTAGACTAGAGGCAGAAACCTGGAAAATATGGCAGTACATTTTTTCAGTAATACTCCGGACTCCTACATTCGATGTCAACAGAGGAAGTTAGTTGTCTGAACAAGGGCTGTCCTAAAGACATACGTAGAGGGACTACAGTTTGGCCGCTGGATATCTCACGTAAGATTTTTATCTGATAGATAGATAATTCGGACGCACACAGTCGGAGACATCAGGAATTTTCAAAAGTTGGGGGGTGATTAAAAATGGATTAAGAACATTTCGGCATTTGACATAATTGTTTAACAATTTTCCCAATAAGATATTTTATTTCACTAAAAACTTAAACTATGTCGAGAAAAAGACTTTTAAAGAGAAAATGTGCTCTATATTGGCAAAAGAGAGAACTAAATTCAAAAATTAAAAATACTAGCTACGTGTTATTCCATATTTCGACATATTTTTCTGTTCGTCAAAATTTCAATATTAAATTTATTTCAAATCACCTGAGTGCCGAAAAAAGAGGACATTTTTGGAGTTGTTCCACTTTGACCTCTGTTAAAAACATATTGATTCTCCATACTTCTCGATAGCCCTCCCTCCTCCTAAAAAATACAATAATCAAATAAAGTACACTTTTAATTTTTTTATCTTTTCTTCACCTAATATCAAGAAACAACATTTTTTAATTACTGTTAAGTTAAAAGGTCCCTTTTTCTGAAGCTAAGAGGTTAGGCGTTGTGGGAATAAGAAGCTGGGGGACCGAGTACTGAATATGAGGAAGCAGCGCCCGGTAAGGCGTTCTAAAGTGTCCGGGCGTGAGATAATTCCCGGGTAGTGGGGCACTTCTTGATTATTTGGACACTTATCCCAATGTACACAGGTTGCTCAGAAGGCCAACCAAGTCTTAGGTCATATGACAAGAGCCTTCCCTTTCAGAGACCGTTTCACCTTGATCAGACTCTATAAACAATATGTTCGCTGTCATCTTGAGTTTGCATCCTGTGTCTGGAATCCATGAACTGCAGATTGTGATGTTTTAGGAAGAGTTCAGATGAGAGCAGTCTCCTTTGTGTCTGGATTAAAGGGATCAACCGTCGTTTAATGTGAAACGAATATTTTTAATAAGTTAACATATTTTTAAATTTGTGGTTTAAGACCAAATACAGTATCCGGACATTGTCTAACGCCCAGACACTTTATAACGTGACACCCGCCCTTAGACTTTCCTAGCCGCGGCTCACGGGCGTCAATCTGTCCTAGCCAAAGCGCTCGTCCAATTTGGTTGAAGTACATTAAATCATGATCTAAAATGTCATGTTTGGGGTCTGTTCTAGAAAACGATTTTTGGACTCCCCTCCAGAGGTGTATTCAGGGGGGGGGGCTATAAGGGCTAAGCCCTACCCCCCTGGACCAGTAAAATCTAATGATTTAAGGCGGTTTTCAGGCCCCAACTGGAGAGAAATAAAAATTTAAGCCCTTGGACAAAATCCTGAATACGCCCCTGCTCCTATCAATTTTCTACATGACTAATATCCATTATTTATCGACAATATTAATATTTATTTTGTATTATTTCAGGGTTAGGTTAGGTTAAGATAATTTCTAGTCCGAGCGCTGCGGCTTGGAGGAGGCCAAGCGCTACAGCCATATGACCATATATATACATGTGTTACATGTAAGATGAATGTACAAAATTGATAGAAGTGGGGAATGAGGGCCCAGGGGGGGGGGGTCCCAAAACCGCTAAATTCCTTGAGAACGAATTTTGGACCCCCCCCCCTCATAACAATTTTGTATGTGGATCTTACTGGTAACACATGGATATAATTGATCATATTGCAGCAGCGCCCGGCCCCCTAGCCTGTGCTAGCCGCAGCGCTCGGCCCTCTAGCCAATCCTAGCCGCAGCCTAACCTAACCTAAAATAATAATGAATTGCTATTCATGTAAAACTAATAAGATATGTTGAATATCTTCTATCAATTTTGTATATGGATAACACATGAATATATAATTGATCATGTAGCTGCAGCGCCCGGCCCCCTAGCCTGTCCTAGCCGCAACGCTCAGCCCCCTAACCTGTTCTAGCCGCAGCCTAACCTAACCTAAAATAATAATTAATTGCTATTCATGTAAAACTAATTAGATATGTTTTAATATACTTTGATATTTGTTGTGTACATGTCAGAAAATTACTTTAAACTCTAGTTGTTCGAATTAATGTATAAACTATTTATCATAAGATAAATTCGCACCCTAATCTCTAATAGTTCTCCTAAAATCTATTTAATTGAAATGCTTTGTTAACATTATAAAAAATTAGATGGAAAAAATAATCAAAACAGCCAAGAGCTATTTTCCATCTAATTGCCTTATACTCGTACTGTCAATATAATCATCTATTTGTAATTGTAAACTCGTTCTGTACACAGATACATGTATTTTAGGTATAAACTTTATCTTATCTTATNCCCCAAAAATTGTTCTCAATAACAGACCCTGTACTCCATTATAATTATTGGAGCCCTGTATTTACCCCGTATGATGTCCCGTAAGAAGACCCGTAATCCTCATCTTCAGAATATTCATCTTCCGCGTTTTGATAAAATCTGTGTCGGGACATTTTTAGCTTTTCATTCGATAATATTTCATCTTAAATGAAAAAGATTAATCCACGCTAGTCCATAACAGTAATAAAAACAATTATACTTTATGTTTTGAAGTTAAAAATACGTGTGTTACAACAGTCGGCACAGTAACATCTACAAAAACTGGTTTTAATGAATTCCGATTTGCCAGATTTCTATTGGTTGATTTGGGACTAGCCCGCTCTCATTGGTTTATACAATATAGAAAAATGTTTTCAAATGCAGACGACATTCTATAAATTAAAATTTTGTTGTGATTTTTCTATCAAAACCCCTCTCAAAACTGGGCAATTTAGAAAAAAATATGTTTTTACCGTTATGTTAACATTAAATGATATTGTTTAAAAACACAGGCCTCTGTTTCAACCAAAAATGTATCGAAATTATTTTTTATAGAGCGTGAAAGGTTATTGTGAACATTCATTATTTTGTACATTTTTAGTGTTTAATCAGGGCTGCCAGATCAGGGAATATGAATAAAGGAAAAGGAAATAGCGCTGGTCTGGCAATTTATCGTCAAATATAATTAAGCTCGAATAATGAGTAGTTTATTGTAAAATTTAATCAAATTATATTCTTTGCATGAAAATTTGGCTTATAGTAATTACTTATAATTATAATATTTTACATGTATATTGAACATTTTAAGTAAACAATTAGCAATAGACAAATGTACTCTCCTAGACTGTACAGGGGCGGATACAGGGGGGGGGGCGGGGGACATTCGCCCCCCCCCCTGACAGATTCAGGGAGGGGGGTAGCCCCCCCCCCTGAATTTGGAATTTTTTGTTCCTATCTTCAGAATAGCGCTTTTCAAAAGTACATGCTTAAGGGAAAGAAACCCTAGTGCAAAACAGGAAAAATATCTGTCTTAAAAAACTATAACGTGTGAAAAGTTAAAAATCTAGTTTTTTAGTGTTAAGTCATTGATTTTGACGATCTTTTTGAGTCTTTTAAGCCAAAAAAAATGTTCCCTGCCTGCGGCGCGATTTTTTGTTCCTATGAATTTTTTTGTTCCTAAAAAATCTTGCCCCCCCCTCACTTAAATCCTGTATCCGCCCCTGAGACTGTACATATATAACCGAGATTCTTATGTACTGTATATACCTACAGTACAGTTACACACCTTCGGTTCGGTATTTCTTACACACACTCTTTTCGTACTGACACACATACATTACGGTTTTGCCAGATGGCTATTTTTCCAGCCACTTTGCCTTAAAATGGCTTTATTTTACGGTTTGACCAAACGCCGCTTATATGGCTTTAAAGTGTTTTTTTCCCATGATTTTAAGTAAAACTTTATACTTTTCTTTGTTCAATACACATATCACTTAAATAATCTAACGTGTTATCATCATAATTGATTTTGTTTAAGGGTTTACAATTAGCCAGCATTTAGAAACAGCAAAATTGTTCTTAAAAAAGTTTAATCATTTCCCAGCAAGAAAACCTACCCCGCTTTCCTCTTGTCCTCCTCAAGCGGAGGACTCCTTTTATCCTCCAAAAATGGAGAATCCTCCTCATTTCCTCCTCTTGTGAGTCAACCAAAAACGTAATTCTGGAGGAATTCCTTTTGAGGAGAGCTCCGCAGTTACTCTGCAAGTGAGTTCTCCTTTCTTCCACCAAAAACGGATGGTTCTCCTCATTTCCTCCTATTGTGGAGAATCCTCTTTTTTCCTGCTGTTTGAGGGGCTAAGTTTTTACATGATGAGATCTGCCTGACCTGTAACAAAATAGGAGGAGTTAAGTATAGGAGGAGTTAAGTATAGGCGTAGTTGAGTAGGTGGAGTTGAGTAGGTATAGTTGAGTAGGTGGAGTTGAGTAGGTGGAGTCATGAGTAGGTGGAGTCATGAGTAGGTGGAGTTGAGTAGGTTTAGTTGGGTAGGAGGAGTTGAGCAGGTGGAGTTAAGTAGGTGGAGTTGAGTAGGAGGAGTTGAGTAGGTGGAATTAAGTAGGTGGAGTTAAGTAGGAGTTGAATAGCTAAAGTTGAGAAGGTTGAGTTCAATAGATGGAGTTGAGTAGGAGGAGTTGAGTAGGAGTAGAAAAAGTTTATATTTAGAGTGAGCCCGAGCTAAAGGAGGGCTGTCGTTAATCCAACACCCTCCACCCCCCGGCCTTGGACAAAATATTTTTTATTTGTGGCTTTTCAGTTTAAGTATATTTTTGCTTGTATAGTTAAGCATGCAAGGTTATGCATAGTAATTGAAGAAATTTTAATTAATATATAAACCTGCAAATTGAAAGAAAACATCTGTGCTTTAGAATAAATACACTTTTCAAGCTCCTTCAAGCAAAATATTAAATACTAAATTTAAAAATAATATTTAAACTATGAATACTGGTATCTCATATACCCTACATGTAGTTCTAAGTAAGGTCTTAGTTGAAAGAAGTGTATATAATTTTATTTTTCTTCAGATTGTTACATTCTATGCCAAAGATGGAGTCGAAAAAGGTAGTATAACTTAATGAATTACATTTCTTTATATATATTAGAAATTTTAAGATTCCATCAAAAAAAGTAAATTTGTAGGTTGTTTTGGAGAATGGAATTGAAACAGTAAACTTTGTCAGGTAAAGTGGAACTGAAGACGGAATATAACCTGCTCTTTTTTTACTAAGTGGCATGTCCGATTCACAACGGTACTCTTAAAAACTTTCTCTGGCCAAGAATGCATGAGATATCATCATATTCTCTTTAAAAGATGATCATTTTCTAATTGTGGTTTCTCTGTAAAGTTACTTGCGCATTTCTGTTGCAGAAACAAAATGGAGGAAATGTTCAGAATTAAACACTTTTCAAACATAAAAAAAGACAACATCTTCCACATTATTTATCAGATAAATGTTTACAAGGTGCCCTTTTTTTCTTTTAAAAATGAGGTATTGGGTTCTTTCCAGCCCATTATTTTTATCTTTATCATATTCTTTGGTTTTAAGCTTGTCAAATTGATTTATTATTTTTATCTTCAACATTCAGAGGCTTGACAAATCTTAGACCAAGTGTCAGTTGATTTTAATCCAACCCTCTACAATATGAAGGAGGGTTCTGGGACAAGGTATATTTTTATTCTTCAAAACGGCTTAACCTATCCAATCTAATTTTTTTAGCAAGACCCCAGTTTAAAGACCTAAACACTTTTTGCTCTCAAAGTTAATTTGATTTTTTTGAAAATCCACCAATGTGAACAACAAATTCTGTTTTAAGACTTAAAATTGGTTTAGCATTTGTTTTCTCATATTTTCATTTGACAAATCAATGTACTTTTGTAATGCTTTTAAGAAATTAAAATGTTTAAATCTTTAAAAGTGACTTTTTTCATATTTAGAAAAAGGATCGATGATTCCTGGGATAAAATAACGAAACAAAACGCGAGGAAATCGGCAGATGTCATACAAAAACATATTTTTATTGAAATGGAATTCAAATTTTAGTCGTTTTTTTTTAATAATGGAACGTGTTCCGTAATTTGTAAAAGATCTATTTCTTAAAATGTTCTTCAAACATTTTTAGAGAAATATCAGTTTAAAAAAGGCCAAATTAAAACTTTTTTAGTCAGATTTCCTAAGTAAAAAAACAATTCAACCAAAAAACTAGATTTCATGTTTTATAAGCACTACTTGATGGCCAACACTGCAGATAATTCAGAATTTATAACAAGAGCAAGTTTCGTCTTCATGATTTCTCTTTTAATGATAATACCCTCAACCTTCAAGTTGGAGTAACTGATTACAAAGGTGGCTGCACATCGTTATAATTTACATTAGAATTTGATCAAGGTTTTATAGATCATGGCTAGTTTTTTCGATTGATCTCAATGTGATCATTAATGATCAATCTAAATATTACTATCAGAGATTCTGATAATCCTTGTTATCAAAACTCTTTTGCATTTTACAATTGTGGATCATTATGTAATTTTAAACTTAAAGGAACTGTCATGTAATCTAGATTCTCCTGATTACCAGCTTTATCTAAGCTAGTAGCAATTAGTAAGATATCTTCGTAACTTGTAAAAAGATAAAGTCAGTCAGTTGCCTTCCCTGTCTCTGCTGCAGAAGTTCGCAAATGTTTTTCAAAGAGATGCTGCAATTAAAAATTAAAAATTTTAAAATAGGAAAACAAAACTATCTCCATTAATTTAAATACATAAAAGGTCATCGGCCAGTCCTTTTAATATATTTTTCACACTTGAGGTTGAGATACTTTTATTTGAAATTATGTTGATGATGATTTATTAAATAATTTAGATCTGCATGGAACCAATCTTAGTGAGGATTCAGCTGAACTTGTTGATAATTCTGAGGTAAAGATAACCCCACGCGAAAACTCTTGGCAGATTTTGTTTAATTACTTATTGTACTTAAGTTTGACATACAAATACATACTTACATACATATATAAAATTAAAATGTATAAAATAAAAAAAAACAAGATTCACAAGATTTAATGTGAAAAGACACATACGTTGATTGCTGAATTTCAAAACATAAGATAAATTATATTTAAAATTCAGTGATGGTGATGGACCAAACCTCTGTAGAGTAAAAAAGTAGATGTTAGTTCCACATTTATTGAAAATATATTTCGGTCTGGGTTGACCCTCGTCAGTTCTTGAGATTGTTTCTTCACAAAGATTAAAAACAAACTATTATATGTCCATGTTGTCCATCCACAATTTGAGTCAGAGATTTTGTTAAAAACATGTTTAGGTGGGCGGAAAGAGATTTAAGAGATTGAGCCAAGCTATTGGTATTATTATTATTATTATTATAATTATTATTATTATTATTATTATTATTATTATTATTATTATTATTATTATTATTATTATTATTATTATGTGATGTTTTAATTTGTTAGAAAAATCTTGCAGTCCTAGCTCTTAAGAAGACACGTTTTTTCAGGTTTTCATTAATTTTGAATATTTGGTTTTGAGGTTCTGGTATTCTTGCAAAAAAAGGTTCTTTTGAAATTAAACTATAAAATTATCTAACCTCCATGAGGAGCTATAACACCGTCTAAGAGCTGAGATTCTTTTTACAATGCATTTAAATGTTTATCATTTAGCCCTTGGTTATATTATTTGTTGGTTCAGTTCAAAAAAGATTATATTTAATAAAGAAACTGTTTGTCATACACCTTCTTATCAAAATTCAAGAAACTTCCCTTTAAATTTTAATTGTGTACCTGTGCAGGGGAGCAAGGAGGTAAACTTGACCGGCCTGGAGGACATCCAGAACCTGAGGAGGCAGTAAAAGGTCAGATTTGATCACAGTTCATAAAGATGGAAACAGTTGTGTTGGATTTCTGGCTTCCGACCAATGAGTATTTTCTCATTGATTGCTAGCAAAATTTCCCGGCTTCTTATAGGTTGCAGGGTGTCTGCAATTAAAAAAAGGATCGAGCATTAATCTCAATATCAAAATGAGCTTGAAATAAACAATACATATTGTTCTTGATTATTCAACGGCTCATTCTGTGAATGTGTTAAAAAAGAACGCAAACATAAATTTTAAATGACTTTCGTTATCGTCAATGTATATTGAGACTCTCTTTATCAGATAATGGTTTGAACAATGAAACCGAGTTGAACAATGAACATGTCGGAGCTGAACTCTTTGCTTCAGAACAGGTTAAAACTGAACTCTTTGCTTTTGAACAGGTTAGAACTGAACTCTTGCTATGGAACAGGTTAGAACTGAACTTTTTTCTTTTGAACAGGTTAGAACTGAACTCTTTGCTTCGGAACAGGTTAGAACTGAACTTTTTGGCTTCTGAACAGTTTAGAACAGTACTCTTTGTTCCTGAACAAGTTAGAACTAAACTTGTTGTTTTGGAACATGCTAGAAGTGAACTCTGAATAGGTTAGAACTGAACTCTTTGCTTCTGAAAAGGTTAGAACTGAACTCTTTGCTTCTGAATAGGTTAGAACTGAACTCTTTGCTTCTGAACATGATAGAACTGAACTGTACAGGTTAGAGCGGAACTATTTGTTCTGAACATGTGAGATATGAAGTCTTTACTTCTGAACAAATTAGATCTGCTCCATTTGAAACAATCATTCTCATACAGAAAATTACACCTTTTTGAAAAATTTATTGAATTTATATGATTTTTTCCGAAAAAAATTGTCTAGTAAGCAGATCCATATAATGGTTTGTTCTTAATAAACTTGATAAGCACTTTTTTACATTTCTTGATTTTATCTTTAGAAAGAGATCAGAGATGAGATTAATATACCACTAGAAAATCAGGTAATGCTTAATATAATTAGAGAGAATTATTAGCATTAGAGAAATCTGATATAGCCATCCATCACTTTAAAATAAAGTAAATTTCACGTAGGATGTTTTCCATCATAACTCCTCTTATTGAAGAACTATTGAGAAGAACAAAAATGATAAAAGTTTATATTATATAACCAAATGAATTTGCTTTGGTCCTACTTGTGGTAAAATTAAAATAGAGGAGCTACAAGATCCCAAAATCGTACCAGTAATGTCGCATAAATTTAACCTTCTCCCATGTTCTCTAGTTTGCAGTGACATATGTATTGTAATGTATAGGCCATTATATTTATGTACTGAATTATTTTTTATAAGTGGTATTAACTACAAATTTTTTTTTTATCTATTCAGTTATAACTAAAGGGACTGCTATTGTAATTAAAAGGGGTAATACCCGATACACAACGGTAGCCAATAAAACTTTAACTGATCAAATTTTGAAATTGAAACCAATTTTCAAAGTTATAAATATTGATATCTTATTCATCATTTACATCTTTTAAGGGTACCGTTGTGAAAAAGACATATTACTCCTCTATAAATAGTAAATAATAAACAGAGAGTCACTTTAAAACTACATCTACAGAATCCCTACCAACTTTTCAAGTTTAAAGAAAAACCAAGGACTTCACTTGTTTAACATTTTTTAGGTTTTCATTGAATGATTTGTTTTTAGAGTAATCAAGAGTTAATTGGGATCGTCTTCAATCTGAATAAGGTGATATATGTTTTTAAATAAAAATGTGTGATGAGTATGAACATCGAAAATAAAAAGTTATGAAATCTAGGTTATTAGAATTTAAAATAAATATTTATAGAAATTGGTTATTATATTCACATACAAGAGAAACATCGAGAAAAATAAATCTGCACTTCTCAAAAAAAATTTATTCTTGACATATGATGAACATTTGACACGACACAAAGGATGAGACGTCCAAGACGACTGTCTTTTTTTGTTAAATCTTCTAAAATGCTGTTGAAAAACTGTATGTAAGGCAGTAATCCTAAGGTACTGAGTTTTTGCCACTTAAGCTCTAATTTTCTCATCCCTAAATATGTGATATTTCAAACTTTATCGAACAGAATTTAAAGTTTGAAAATTCAAAGGTCTGCCACATCGGGTTTCAAAGATCTGGGAATTAGAACATCAGAGTTTGTGGCAAGAACTCCTTTAATCTCCACATTGCTGTAATTAATGAGTTTCATGTCGTCATTTAAGTCTTAATCTGTGATGTGGGCAACCCTGTACTTGAAGAACTCAAAGAACGGAGCTCAAATGATTAACAAGAAGCTAAAACATCAATCTACCAGGGACAAAACTCGAGGGGTATTTGTCCCCCAAACTAAAGATCCCGATTAACTGCGGCTTCCGAACATTCAATACACAAACCGTTACCCACAATCGATAATAATGAAAATCTTTTTATTTCCTGAAAAAAAATACATTTAATTAACACGGTTACATATTGTGAAAATAATGTTTATAATGAAAAAAATGCTTTCGATCTAATATCGGGAAGACGGACACAAATTGGATATAAACAGTACTAAAATGACGTTTTTGACTTCTGAAATAAAATGGCAATTGATTTTAAGCGTTAATCATTATTTTTATGAATATTATTCTTTTGTTTAACTTTTTGGAAACTGTATTACTGCTCGTGAAGTTGTTCATGGTTTGGTTTGGTTCCGGCTCCGAGAGAAAATCTAATTCAAAGACGACTTTACAACGGAGAACTCATTGTTAAGGGTTAACAGTACTAGGTTGTACAAAAAAAGAAACGCTTTTGTCGTGCTTTATTTTTTAAACAAAATCTAAAACTTGTTTTACTGTGTAGGGAGGAAGAGTAGGATTGGAGTTCAAGATTAATGTTAATCTATCAAGTGAACAAGTACTTGAAATCTACAGGTATATTTATCTCTATGCTTATCATATCATATTATATATTTTCATATATATTCTCTATAGCTAAAGCAATGGGTACCCTATGGGCCCAGGGGTGACACGGGCTAAAAAATTGTTTTGTACATTTTTAAATTTCACTGGCAAAACCGGTCACTTCAGCTAAGATTATTATTTAATACCAAGCGCGGGTGAACGGCTTAAGTAACTGCTATGCATATTATTAATAATTATATAAACCTAGACAAAACGCCGGGTATTTCACTTCAGCTAACAATAGACATATATATCTGTATGTATTTTGCTTCTCAATTAGTTTGCAGGAGTGTATATTTTTGATTTTTTACACAGGAAACTGAACAGTAAAAAAGACTTTTTAGAGAAAAAACTTTAATATTTTTAAAATATACCCCCTCCCCCCTATTATAGTCGTTTCTGTAAAGATTGCGTTTTAAAATTTTTTTAAAAAATATTTTTTTTAATCCACTAAAGAAAACAGTATAATCTGCAAAATACTTTGACTTTCTAAAGGTGCACGAAAAAAGTGGTTAATTAAAAGATGAAAATAATGTATAATGTGTAATGTATATTTTATACAGTACGGATCAGAAAACTGCTGGATTATAAGGACGGCATTGAAGCTATATTCTAAGCGTATTTGATGTTGCTACAAGCAAATAGTTTTACAATTGATTTAAACATTAACTATATACGTAGTAAAATTGCCTGCGCATTTACATTGGACTATTTATAATCTTCAATTGATTCTTAAAGTTACCTTCCCATTTTGGAGTTTTCTGGTTCACACTGTATTTGACATTTTTTATACTTTTGAATGCATCTTTTTTCTTCTTACCACAAACTTAATCATCCAAAAAATTACAAACTGCATTTCCTACAAGAATATATAAGAAAAAATTAAATTTACATTGCTCATATTTTTTTCTTTGTAAATTGTTAAGGTAATTATTGTCCCATAGAAAAAATTGAATTGAATTGAAATAAAAAACTATAAAAACGAAAATACTTATCATATCTTTGATGTGTAGACCTTGTTATCTACTGATTGATATTTTCATTTGTTTGTTTTTAAATATTAAATAATGAAATAATAATTTGATATACTTTGACCCTTTTATTGAAAATTATAAAATATTTAAAAATTTCCCGCTTGTAGACAAAGTTCAATAAACGCACTGAATGTCACATGTTAAAATTTTACACATCTATATATAAATTTGGCTTATCTGTCTGTCTGTTTGTTTGTCTGTCTGTTTGTATCCAATAAACGTCAAAACGGCTGAACCGATCGGGTCCAAATTTTTTGTGGGACATCACGTGACCACAGGGAAGGTTTATGAAAAATCAAAATTTCAAATATTTGTCTCCATCAAAATTCGATCGTCATTAAATTTTTAAAAATTTTGAAAATCCGCGAAATTTTTTGTGAAAATCCGCGAATTATTTTTGTTTTGTTTTACGATGTACACAAAGAGAACATGTTCACAACTAATTTAGAAGATGGGCGCGAAGCGAAGCGCGAAGCGCCCTCTAAGGCTAGAAAGAAGGGCGCGAAGCGCCTTGAATTTCTAGTGTTAAATATTTCTATTTACTGTTTAGCCCCGATATATGGATTCATCTCTAATTGGATGATGAGATAGTTAGAAAGATACTGCCATGCAATTTCTATTGGTTCAGAATAGACACCAAACACATGACTGAACCCTGATTGGATCAGGCGTTAATGGAATCGCATACAACCCTTTAAACCGTTGTCTATAAAATACGTCTACAATCCCTTTAAAGTTAGTGTTCATATGTAGAAAGGGCGACCAGGCTGAGGCAGATGAGACGACCGGCCTAGTTTTCCTGGACTTAGATAACCTTCAATCCATGGATCAAAGGAAAAACATTTACATTATTTGTTTCTTTATTTTATGTTTCCCTAATCAAAGTTTTATGGTCGTCCCACTTCCATTTTATTAATCATGAAGTGTATTAAGATAGTATATGGTCTTATACAGGATAATCCACAAAGGATGAGACTTCAGAGACGACTGTACGGAATTTATATTTTCTTTTACCTTGTATTTATGATATTCCCTGCAACTTTAATCTTCCTTCTTTCAATGCCAAATCATTAAATAAGCCATTTAAAGACCACATTCAAGGGAGAAGACAATTAATTTAAACTTGGGATCGTCAAATTTGAAGAGTTTCAAGTCGTCTTTACAGTCTCACCAATTGTAGGTAATTCTGTAGCATCAGTCAAATTTGTCTAATTTCCATTTTAATTTCTTCGGGAAGACTAAGAAAAACTTAAATTAGATTTTAGAAGTGTAAGAAAAGTAAGATAATAGCATTTAGTGTAATGGGCGGGTATTTTTCCAGTTTTACAAAGTTAGATGATGAAAAGTTTTAAAAATGAATAAATCTTCACTGAAAAAATAAGCTGCTGCTTTACAAAGTGAAAAGTTAGATAAATATATGTCTAATTGAAAAGTTAGATAAATATATGTCTAATTGAAAAGTTAGATATATATATGTCTAATTGAAAAGTTAGATAAATATATGTCTAATTGAAAAGGAATTTAATCATTTTAACAATTATCACGTTGAGTAACTTTGCATTAAAACATTTGTAAACCCTAAAACCAAAAAAGGTTATTGTAAAGTGTCTAAATAATTGTTTTATAATTTCAAGGATTGGACATTGGATTGGCAAGTTTTAAAATCCTTGATACTATTTACCAAAAAAAACATTTATTTTCCACAATTCAGCGAAAGAATAAACACCTGAACAAAAATTTCAAGTATGATTTTTAAAAGGGTGGGGTGGGTCGGGGGGAGGAAAAAATAAGAATGATTTAAAAATGTAAATAATTTTGTACCAGTGTTGTTGAAAACCTGACACCGCATGCTGAAGGCAGTCTCAGGTTTTTAAGGGACATGATCACCTCAAATCCAACAACCAATTCTTAGAATCATTTAATTACTGTTCAGTGATTATTGCTTTTTGCGCATTTTTCTGTTGTTTCTAAGTTCTAAATTCTAAATTTTTCTATATCTGATACATATCTGAAGTGGGAACTTCTGTGTTGGATTCCCATAATCCCGATCAATTAATCTCAATATTCGCAGTGGGCACCCATAATCTGCTTGATCACTGGATATCCGCTATTTCTCTGCTCTCTCATTGGTTGAACGCCAAATGCCCTCGCTTCTGATTAGCTGTTTGTTTTCCACGGACGACACTCCTCGCGGGACGGGATCAAATAAAGATCATAGTTCAAAAGATCGAGATCAAGTATTAAACTTGATATCCACAATACAAGAGTTCCCATCTCACGGCTCATGTCTTGGAAAAAAATCGAACTATTGGAACCGCTATTCTTACATATTATGAATTGTTATTTTTACACGGACTCGCAGTAAAATATATGTGATTTTATTGTTGAAAATTTTGAAGCAAATGATTTGATTTATTTTGAAGTTATTCAATAAAAAAATAATAAATGTAATCGAGCGTACACTGCATCTGCAAGCTGCAGTTTACAGGCAGTTGCCTATAGGAGTTGCGCTTTATCCGGGTTGAATTACAAGAAAGAGAGAGATTTGCATATATTTTAGGGTTAGATTAAGTAAAGACGCTTTGGGCTTCTGCTCAGATTGCACAACCATAGTTCTGAGAGGATGTCGAATTTTTTGTCAGAAAGGAAAAAAGTTTCTGGGAAAAACAACCTGGAAATAAGAAATTTGGTAAAAAAGTCCCAATTTTCTATGGACAAATTCAAAATATTTGGCTTTTTGGATACCTTAAAGGTACACATACATACCAATTTACTTGCAAACACAACTAGCAGAAAAAAACTTGTTTCTAAAGGTACATTTTATTGTATGTTATGTTAGTATTTATACTAGAGATAGTAAAAGATATTTTTGAAAATGAAAAACTCAACTTTAACTTAAATTCTATGAGATGAAAATAAAAGAATCAGAAAATAATTATGACTCGTAAAAGTTTCTGTTGTGCAAAAAAGTAGGAGTACAAATGAAATCTATATAATAAAGCTCTTGGCTCATATATATTTATTTATTTATTTATGTCAGCTACATAAAGTAATACAACTCTATGGTCAGCTATAGCTGGCCAAACAGCTGGAGCCAATGGGTTGACATTTTTTTAGGGAACCCATGGGTGCCCGGGAAGTAACATAGGCTAAAAAAAAGTTCGATTTTTTCCTTCTTAAAAAATCGATTTTTTGTTCATAACCCGATTTTTTTTAAATTAAAATTTAATTTAAATCGAAACTTCTTTTCAAAATTCGATTTTTAAAAATTGCACGGGCAACGCCGGGCACTTCAGCTAGTCTGTATAATAAAGCTCTTCATTCATTTATATGTTCA